TTTCCCTTCAACTATTTGGCATCTGTTCTCTTGGTGGTTTTGATTGGCTATATTGTGAAACTGACTTTCAAGTACATACTAAGTCCCCGTGCTTGGGCAGGTGTATGGCAGGCACCTCAAATAGGTACACACACGACACATCATAATGGGCTTCCCACAGGTACGGCACACCATGAAGATCGTCTTTCGGGCGAAAACTTAAGAATGCTTTTGAATGCCATTAGCGGCGGCACGACGACGTCGAACAAGATTACAATCAGCAATACAACTGCCACAGCGCCCTTGACGGAATCACCGGAAACGACTTCTGGGGTACAAGAGATACTACTCTCCTTAGAAAACGGTAGTAATGCTGATACTGCATCGGACGAGTCGTCCATGTCAGAGGCAGCAGCACAGAAGTCAAAGCACAACTCGCCACACAAGCAAGTAGATGAAACCGATAATAATAATGGAGTTGAAAATCAATTTGATGTATCAGATGACGGTGATAAGTCAGAAACAGTTAATGGCGTTTTTTGTTCTACAAAAAAAGTTGCCTATCCATTGCCATATCCTTAGTATTTGTGCGTAAGGCACTGCGAACGCAAAATTTTTTAGTAGAAAGGAAAATGCCATAGGCTGCAGTATGAATTGTATGAAAAAGCGTAGCATTTGTATTGCTATTGCTAAGACATTGGTTTTTATAATTTATACTTTCTATTTATTTAAATGAAATTTTTTTCCTTAGATGCATCGCAACAAAAAAGATTAAAAACGCTTAAGTGGTTTAAGGTATTCACTAAATTTGTATTCAGTAACGCCGCCAAGCGAAAGTCAGTTAATTAATTTTAATATAATATAAGAAGGCAAAGTAAGATATTGTAAGTTACTGCAACGTAACCAAGTAAAGTATAAAATAGTGTGATACGCGTATATTGTGTTAATGCTAGAAGCTATTTTTTTTATTATTTCTGAACAAATATTGTAACTATTTTAAAAAGAAAGGCAACTATAATTGTGTGTTACCTCGAATTTAGCAAAAAAAACGCAAATAAAAGTGAATTAAAATGGTAATACTACTTTTGGATTGTCCATCAAATAACAAACAACGTTAAATTTTAATTCGATTATTAGATTTTTATTTCAACTATTATTTTTAAATCTGTTTGTCACAATGTTTAATATATATGTATATTTATGTTTCCATCTGTTCATATGTGTTTAGATAAGTCTAGTATTCATGTGAGGTGTATGTATATTTACCGCCATTAAGTACAATACACACGTACGCTTTGCTTAAAATCTTTCCATGTAAGTATCGATAACATATGTACATACATATGTTGTATGATTTCTGTTATACATATACATATGTATGTATTTGTTTTGTATAAGTTTTTCTTATGTTATTTAATTGTTTGCGTACTTAAATTCATTTATTTCAAATATGCATGTATATAGCAAATAATGCGCTTTGCTTAATCTGTATACAACAGCTTTAGAAAAAAATATAATACTTATGTGAGTGTGCTTTTATTACTTCTAAATATGTTAAATATGTAGTACAAGTTGTTTTAATTTTACAACGCTTTTATTTATATATATATGTATATTTGCAACCACTTACATTCATACATATTATCAAATTCAATAATTATATGGCTTGAAATCTATGAAATGCAGAGCCAGCGAATGCGTTAAAGCACAAATGAAATATTACGTACTTAACTTTTACATGCATGTCGATCATAAATAAAAAATGCAATTGCAAGATTTCACATTTTACTATACTACATTTTTAATGCTATTGCGTTTGCCTACTCTCCATCGCTATTACGAAAAATCTACATATGCTGTTTTAATTATATAATGTATAACTTGTATTTTCCTTTTGTGTATATAATTTTTGCAATTTAGAATTACATACATATAAATTAATATTCTATTTATTCGTTGTATTTTAAATAAGTTAGTGTGATGTTACATACATATCTTCACGAGCATTTATCCGGTAAAATGTTGCGTACTGTACGGATTCGATTCGTGGCTGTTTTCCGAACAAAATTTGGACATAACATCACACTTATTAGATTCTCTAAACCCTATCTTTTACTATTATTATTATTGCGAAAATGCGAAATGCTGAATACCTTTTACCTTTTTTCTAAAAATGAATAGCTGTTGCAATTAAAAAAGGGTATCACCCTGGGAAGTAAATATGTTGTTATTAGCAACTGATACCTGCTGCTGGTATAATAAAAACAAAGTTTTAATTTCTGTGCATTTATTTAAGCAATTACTTTAACTGCCTTATCTATTACTAGAGTGATTCGTCTGCAGCCGTCATCGTTCCTCCTTGCAATTTTGTAACTCTATCGTTCGTGTTTGTCTTGCTTTACGACTATTACGTTCAACTCGTCACGCCAAGTGCAATAGTTATGGTGGGCATCTGGATCAACAATTACTCACTGAAAATTCTTCTTACAAAAGTTGTATTTTTTATGAAATGCTAAACGAATTTTCGTCCCATATAGTGGGCTGTGGTTTAGCGATTTATTTCTTCAACCTAAATACCAAATCTGTGTTTATTATTTACTAGCAGACCTGGCGAACTACGTTACGCCCAAATTGAATTTTTTTATTGAAACATTTTGGTCCAACATTTTCACAAACAATCCACATTCAACAATGATCCGATCGATGGTTAATCTGTCCTCGAAACTACTACATAGTACGGTGGTTGGTGAGTATCGTTGTTCAACATATATCTTTTTTCAGACGGAATACCTTAAATGTCTTCTCAAGGAGCGCAATGGTGGTTTATTTAACGGTGGTAATTTAAAATTAACTTCCAGGCAATTAAATCCTGGTGTCTCCGAGTGAAGCTTTAACGCAAAGTAATATTGTCAAATCACATCCATTGGACCAATTGGAACACACGGTAGTTCGACATGCTCAGTGATCTAATACGCCGATGTAGTGTCGGATATTCATGATACTTTCTACTGGAAAAAACGGTTGTTAAAATATATATTAGTACAGAATTTCAAGCAAATCGGACCATAAGTAACATTTTTTCGAAGAGATCGGTCCCTGGTCCTCATACCGGAAAAAAGTTTTTTTTTGGGCTTGAGTTAACGTCGGAAAATAATAAAATGGTTTTTAATATGAAAATAGCTTCCATATTTGTAAATTTTAACCACGCAGTCAATAGTGTAGTATATATTGAAAATTGTTGACACTGGACCAGTCGGAAGCTGCACATATATTAATTTACTATTGAATATAATATTGTTTGTGATAATGAATATTCAAAGTGAAAATTCTTAATTTGAGCCATTTATTTTGAAAGTGGCAAAAGCCACATTGTGTTTTTAAATTGATATATGTACATACATATGAAAGCGTTTGCGTTTTAACACGTTTAAAAAAATATTGATGCTAACTTTCGAGCAGTTTTACTTGTATTTGAAAATTTATTATAATCATCGAAAAATCACCACTTTTACTTGCAGTAAAGTGCCTTGAGCCACTTTCAAAATAAATAGTTCTGAAAACTGACTGACTTACATCAATTTTGTTTGATGTATTTTACTGAAGCGATGCTTTGAAATTACAGTGACTTACTAAAACTGATGATTAAGTTACATATATAATAATAATAATTTATACCATGTATGTATGTATTTTATATAAAAGTTTATTCAATAAAATTGTAACATCGTACAAAAAAAAACAAAAAGTTTTAAACACACAAAAAAAAAATCAATATACAACTCGCAAAACTTGGAGCCAAATATGGTAAAACTGCGTTTTAAGTTCTTCTCTCTTAGGTGGGGATTTCTTGTTAAAAGGACTTTGAAATTTCAAAAAACTTATTTAAAAACTAGCAAATACTCGGCACGCATCTCTGCGCCTTAAGTGTTTTTATGCTGTTTGATACCCATATTGTAATATTTCATTTATTTTTCAAACAGGTGGCAACCTCCCCCAGTAAACTTTCCTACCCCGCTCCTGTTTGATGCCAATATTGCAATATTAAATGTATCTTGTCAATTAAATTGAATAACAATTTTCAAACAGGTGGCAACCTTCAAGAAAAATATGTTCAGCTGAAAGCCTTCTTCAACACCTTTATTTTGGCAAGCATATTGCAATATTTACTTTATCTCATTAATTTACTTTATCTGTAATTTTCAAACAGGTGGCAACTCTGTAATTTTCTCTCTCTCTATATTTTAAGTTAGAGCTCTAGCAATGCATCGGTGAAAACTGCATTCAATTCTGTCAATTACTTTTTGAGTGATGCGAGTACAAATGTTTGTATGTTCATACAAACAAAAATTCTAAATATTGTTGACTTGGCTTCTGTTGCTCTAATGAAGACCCCCCTATTATGTACAGACATCGGCCTGCTAAAATTTTATTAAATGTAGAGATTTCAGTGCAGTTTAGAATAAAAGTATGGGTACCTAATGTAAGAAAAAATTCTTTAGAATATAAAAACATAAAATTTTTTTGATTTGAGACTAATCATACCTTTGAAGTTGCAAAGTCTCTTAAAAAGTCCTGACGCCAGAGAAAAAAATAAAAACCCAGTTTCACTATAGTTTTTTTCGTGTGTAAAATTGACTTTTGCCAGGTGTAAACAATGTAATCATTAACCTGATTTTTTAGTGACTTATGCCACTTTCAAAATAAACAACTCATGCTGAAACTAAATAGTTTAAATTGGTTGTTTGTGAAATTCGTCTCGAAGTAAGGCGCTATGACTTTTGTGGTATTAAAACACTGGTGCCACACTTCGCAACGGGTAATGCCGCTGAAAATTGTTGACTTGTACTGTACTAGTATGAATGAGCGAATTAATGTTTAGCAATAAACCTTAATAACAAATTTAAGAGTTTTGGTTTTTATAAAAACGGATTTTACATAAATAAACACTTTATTGACCCAAGTGTAGGCAAAGGATTTTTTTAAATAGTTCCAATTTCTTTTTTTTTTATTGATTTTTTATTCTAACCTTTTCAATCGCTTATTGTTCATTATAAAATGAAGTGAATAGAAGCTGAGTTTGATTATTTGACTAAGTTTTTATTTTATATATATATATTTTTTTGTTCTACGCGTGTATAGAGTGGCAAATTTACTAATCTAATAGCTGCTTTTGCCTGAAAAAATCTAATATCCCGCAATCTCTAGGAATGCAGGAGAAAAGCACTCTTTTAGTAATTATAATTTTTTTTTTTTTTAACAAACTATGCTTTAAGTATACGTATTACTAGATATGAATCTATATTTATATATGCATGAATTCGGGTGCTTTTATTATTAAATATTTATTTTTTGGTTTTATTTCGATGTTTAATGTTTTATTTAAAAACTAGTTTTGACTAAATTAGCGCAAATTAAACTTCTATATATGTATGCATTTACTGTTAAGTAATTAATTTATTGTTTTTCTTTAAGAAGAATCAATTCATTAGTTTTCATTTAATATTTAACAATTAAAGCTTTGTAAATTTCAATTCAATTGTTTACCTTCATTTATTTCAATTATTTAAATATAACTTAAATACTAGAAAACTGCACTTTTCCAACAACAATTTACTTAACTTTTAAACACAAAACCAAATGCATATGTATGTATGTATATATCTCTAAGTTATTGTTTAAGCTATGCTTTAGCATATTAGGGAAAATTTGAAAAAAAATATATATTTTCAAAAAATTGTTTAGCTTTAACCTAAAACTTTAAATTTTTCTTATACATACATACATATTTGGGAATTGGTTTCTTTTTCTACATATGTATTTTTTCCTTTTTATATTAATTTTAGTGAAATTTATTCAAATAATTTCTTCAAGTAGTTGAATTCAGCAAATAAGTATTACAAATGTTTCTTCATTGTTTTTGTTTTTATTTTTACGCATATATTGTAAGTATTTATGTACAAAAATTATTGACACTCTCAACTAAACTTACGCATAAAAGCCGCTGGCTGTCCTTAGGCCTCCTAAAACCCCTATGGATCCACTTAAATTTTAAAATATCTTCAAATTGTGACTAATTTTTTTTATAAATGAGGCGAAGTATGTATACAAACATAAGTCGTTGCCAGGTTGCAAATTTAAAATGATATTGAGTATTTCGAAGTCTTTGAAGGAATTCAATATTTACTAATGTATATATTTACATGTAGATGTGCTATTAAAAAATAAATTCACACGTGTAGCAGATTTTAATTGGTGTTTGTTTTTCAATGAATTATTTCAGTTTGAGCTATTATGTAGAATGTTCTTTGAGTGGTTTTTCCTCTCATGCCAAAATTATTATTCATGATCAGTACTCGGATTTTGATGACCTAACAACTAACAAAAATTCCCCTAATATACCATAAAAATTACCTAAAAAAACTAAAAAAAAAATATCCCAGAAAAAGTTAAAAATTTACGAATTAAAAAAGCCTGGTGCTACATACACTAATTTTGATGTTTTCCATTGCAATCATTTACAATAAACTTTTTAGATCATTTGGCAATCAAAAGAGAAAAATTTCGGTGATTGGTGAGAAGTGGTTACGCTCTGTTTGCTAATTGGCGAGCACAGGGTTGCTTCTTAGAAATGCCTTTTTCCATTTCTCACGCCAATTTTTCAGGGTCGCAATACGATATTTTGCGAAAAAGTATTAATATTAAATATTAGAATAGTAAACAATATTTTATTATTATTATTATAAAGTAGATATTATAAAAAATATTATTATAAAAATTAAATATTAAAGAAAGAAAAAATATTAATTTGCTCTTCCATTTTACATTTTCCGACTTAAATTTAGATTTAAGTAATTTAGTTTTAAGTTGCATTTTTGTTTCAGTGCTGCCATTGTGTGCGAAATTTTATGAAATGGAAAAAGGTATTTCTTAAGAAGCAATGAAAGAATTCGCATCTGTGGTAAAATCTGGTATGTCCCATTTAAAAAACGTCAATCCAGACGTTGAAAATTTAATCATTTTTGACTTTGATGATGCCTGAAAATAGCAATTTTATCAAACAGCAGCAAGATGCAGCAGACAATGAATACACAAAAGGACAGTAGATATAATGCCCTTTTATCAGATATATGAATATATCTTATCGGACGATATCGGACAGAAAAATTCATACTCCACGAAAAAAGCACAATATGTTAAAAATTTTTACAATCATAACATACACTTTGAAACAGTGAATTTTTCAAAAACACAAATGTTATTTAAAACCGCGATTTTTACAGTCAATAGTACATGCCATTAATGTTATTTTCCATTGCTAAAATGATTACACCGCAAACTTTTTATATACGTAAAATACTGCAGTTCAATATCATAAAATTCTAGCACAAACTAAAACCAAAACCACAAACTTTACATTGACAGATAGAGGGACCAGGGTTACCTTGCGGTCATAAATTTATAATTTCTTTTCTAATTAGCGTACCTAGAATAAAGTCGGCCTGTTAAAGATTTTGAAAGCAAAAACTGAAAATTGAATTTTTGATTGCAGAAAGTGCTTATTTCAGCCATAGTGCAATGGGGTAATTTGTAGTTGAGAATTCGAAGTCTAATATTTTAGAAGGCCGAATAAGTGCATTTATAACTATGAAGGCGAATACATGCATAGGTAATATGTCGTCTTTAATAATACATTTAAGTATGTATGTATGGTTTTACATATTGCAAGTTTAATAAGAAAGATAAGTAGTTATTTCAAAATTTTAATTTTGTGGAAAAACAAATAAAATAAACAACATACCTTCGGCATTTTTGGGGAATTTAGTTATCTATAAGACATAATAAGGTTATTCCCGCTTTCCTAGTTAACGGGGTATCTGGTTCAAAATTATTATTGTGTAGTGTATTTTATTTGTTGTAAACTTAATAAAAAATATAACCACATAACCACATAAGCTGATAACCAGGCAAGCGTGAACAACCTCAATATATTTTTCATTGCATGATGAAATCTCAAAAAAGGTAAATTTTGAATCAAATCTCTATATTTGATAAACGCGCGATATATATCTATATTTCCTGGTACATTTATAGCTGCTGTAGTTGTGATGTATGTGTAACAAAGGAGGTTTTTTTTTGTTATTTTTAAGTATAATTTCATAAAGCGTTATGCCACCCATTGCATGTGCTTTGTAAAGGGTAATGCAAGCGGTAATGCATCCACTAGATGACTTTCTAGCACTGTGGTTGTTAATACATGTACCGTGATGTATGTTTGCGTGTGGATAGTAGCTGTTACTTGAGCACATGTTTTTGTTTGTTGTATTTATTTATTTATTTATGTGGATGTATGTACATATATATGCATATGTACATATGTACATTTGTATATTTGTAATACATACAATAGTATTTATTTATTTTTTGTATAGAATTTTTGGCTTTCCGACGCAGTTAGTATTTGTTAAGTATTCGTAATTGTATAACTATTTTTATATTTGGTTTATTTGCATACAGATATATGCGCGTATGTAGATATCCTTTATATTGTATATGTTTTTATTTTATTAGTTATGATATATGATTGCATAGTAGTTATGTATGTATGTATATCTATTAGAAACGCGCTGTGCCGGATTTTGATCTCACATTCATAACGGTACATTTCGATTATTTCACTATTACCTTTTGTATTTGTATCGCATTAGCGAGATGCTATAGTTTAATAATAGGATATATGTATGTATATGTATCTGAAAATACATATGTACAGAAATATATATGTATGTAGTATGTTTGTATACAAGATGATTAGTTAATGGCGATGTTTTTTGTTTTTTTCTAAACCGACTTCAAAAAAGTAGGATGTTTATCAATTCATCGGAATATTTTTTTCCTTTTTTTTATGTTGTTACCGAATAGCTTTGGACCAAGTGAACCGTTTTCGATTATTCTTTGTTTTATCGGAAATATAAATTTGGCTTAGTTGCGATCATTGTGTCCTGTAGAAATTTTTTTATTAGCATTGAAGTCGGTTGTATCTTTTGCTTAAAAATTACTTGTTTTAGGTTTATTTATATGTATGCATGTACGTATTGTGCATTGAGCATGAAGAATTATTGGTCATAATCTAGTTAGAGAATTTTAGAAAAAAAATAAATAGATGAAAATTCTTCATCATATGCATCTTCGTTCGGCTTTTCTTATAATATTTTAAAGTCTTACGGAGTGGCTTTGGAGACTGGGTTTGCCAGTATGTATACAGTATATCTGAATAATTGTTTGCCTATGTTCTGTTTATGGCGATCCTTCAATTCTACTTTTGACATTGAGGTTTCTTATGAAAGCCATTAGAAGGTAAAACTTCGAGTTGTAAGTATTATAGGATAAGAACGAAAAATGACACTGAAGATGGCACAACGCTGAAACCGGTTTGTCTGCAAACCAAACTTGACAGGGGATGACGGAAATTCGTTCCAAAATAAATCATCTTACCACCCTGTCGGAAAAATCAACCAACACCAACACACATTATAGGAAAACTTCTGGTACACCAAATTCATGATTTTCGAAAAATAATTGCACAATGTACAAATCGTTACCTAAATTCACAAAGCCCTAACCAAGATTTTAGTAGGATGTATTAAAATACACTTTCAATCAAAATTTTAAAGTGTTAGTTAGCGTTTTTAAAAAGCGCCACCTGATCCAGCTCTGATCCAATACTTTTCGTGTGAAATCCTGTAAAAATGTCAAACAGCAAAATTACTCTCTGAAGTGAGAGCAACATCCAAAAAGTACGGAGGCAGAGCAAAATGCTCTTGCAGTTTGACAACCATGGATGGATACTAATGTTTCCGCATTATTTTGTAATATAAAATATTATTACATATACATAGCAGCAGTTACTCCTAAGCTCGATCTAAATACCCAATGCACAACACAAATACTACATACATACATATGTTATGGTTGTAAATTGATGTTTTTTTAATCAGATATATTCAGTTTTAATCTCAAGACTCTTTTCGAAACGAAAGTAAAAACGTTTAAAAATGACAATTTTCCTTCGTCTACATACTTTGCCAATATTTATATGTATTTGGTGTAAATTCAAAGAAAGGGCAAAATCTGATATGTATGCATATACGCTCGTGTTAGACTGTTATGTTAGTGAGTGCCCAGTGTAATTGTCACATCGATAGTTATAGTAAAAAAAGATAATAATTCTTTGAAACCGCATTGCCAATAATTTCTGTTACGATTGCCAAAATTGAATTTCCAAGGTAAAATTTATGTATTTATTACATACATACATATGTAAACTTGGGTGAAAAACGTTGTGCCAAAATAAAAAAAATGCCAATAGGAACTTATGTGCAAGCAAGTGATAAATTACTGCCTACTTTTTCGTAAAACTAAACAGAAAGTACAAATTTATATGGCTTTCGCCAACTTAAAAACGTTCCATACCTTTATGCCATGACAAATAAGAAGTTCCAAGGCAAAAAAAAATTGCTAAAATTCCTATCAGGTATAGCCAGGCTGTCGTTGTGACAAAAACTAAAAGTCTTGTATAATATTTTTTCTCAGTGATAAAAATTAGGCAACAATAAAAATTATTAACTAATTAAAAAAATTATTGTTGAACTCTCTTTAGCTTCCCCCAGCAGATTTTAAGCTATGTATATTTTTTAATATTATTCTTAAATTTTTAATTAACTGTATATGCATATTTTATGTGCATTAGTTGTGAAAAAATATTCAATGGCACCTGAAAATCTCTTAAGTAGATACGCACTAAAGCTGTTAGTAACAAAGATGAAAATTTACAAATGCGCGTGGTACATACACTTACAGGTATACATACATATATGCGCTGCGTAAATAATTATGTATGAATGTATGTATATCATATGCTCTTTAAATATTAGCCTAAATAAATAAATAAATTATGAAAATATTTAACATTTGAGTATACATAAGTGAAAATTGTTTTTTGTTTGATTTGTTTTATTTTTTTATTTTTTATTTTAAAGCTAATTTGAAGTGAATTCAAAACGAGTATAATTGCCAACAACCTAACCAAGCCACACTCCTTCACAGCATCGTCACACGCTTTTACTTTGCTTAACTATGTGTGTGTGTGTGTAGTGGCATTTTTGTTGTACTACTTTGGGGGATTTCGTGTAGGAGCATGGCTTCACTGGCGGCCCTTCATTCACTAACTCTAACACCATTTTCACCACATCCCCTGCATCTTGCTACCTCTAACTAGTACCCGCCTGCCTCCCGGCTACTCTTACATAAGTTGACATTTTTCCTTGGCACCGGCTGCACCATCGCCGTTTTCCGGTATGGCACCGTTACTTTCTTTGCCTTTCTTCTCCTTCTTCTGTTTCTTTTGCTTTTTAACATCTAACTGCAGTGACACAACGCGCGATTTCTCCATGTTGAGCAGCTCCTGAGACACGTACATACATACATGTGTACATAGTATAATTGAAGATAAGTACAGAAATGTTATTAGGCATAAATATGCATTTGTATAAGTACATAGGTACGCACGTGTTATATACATACATAATGTCTTTCAGGCAAATTAGCATAATTTCATTTTCAATATTTGCTAACACACATTCATTCGTACAAAACAGCTACGAAAGGAACATCCACTCCACACCACCGTCATCACTTCACTTCCTACATTTTGCCACTTACCTGAAATAATTCGGTGACGTTGTGATTGGTTTTGGCCGATGTCTCCATGAACGATATGCCCCAGGTGGTTGCCTGTGCTTGCCCCTCAGCTTCTGATACCTCACGCAGCTCGGCACTTTCATCGCTCTTGTTGCCCGCCAACATGACTGGTATGTTGACAACGTCCGGACCCTGCGGCCAAATGTGCGAAAAGATGCGAGGCAAATGGGGAAATTTGAAGTTAGAGAAAATTACATGTATGCGCGAGATTGCTTTTAAGTTAGTTATTCTTTAAGTACATACATATGTATGTATGTGAGTGTACATATGCATGGTATGTGTGTTATGATATAATTAATGTAGAAATTATTGGTTATTACCTTAAGATCCTTAATGTTTTGCCAAATGGGTCGCAGCTCCTCTAAACTTTGCTTCGAACAAACAGAGTAGACCAGTATAAACGCATGACCCTTGGTTATGGACAGTCTTTGCATAGCCGGAAATTGGTGTGAGCCTGTTGTGTCGGTTATTTGCAGAGTGCAAATGTTTTTGTTGCAGCTTATAACCTAATTGGAAATGAATTGTAATCGAGTGTGGGAAATGGCAAACAAGTTGGTTAGCAATCTTTGAACGAAATATTTATTTTTTCTAATTGTGAAATATTGTATACTCGCATACTCGTATATTTATTGGGGTTTCAACTAATTCTAATTTAAATACATTACGAGGCAGCATTTATGTACATTTTCTATTAGCGAATAAGGATTTATGAAACTTGTTTTAAAGATAATTTGAGTGAGTGCATAACAATTAAGTTGGATTAGCATTGATGGTTGTTCTAGCCTTTCCTAAATAGTAGATAATTGAGTCAAGAAACATGTGATTAGCTGAAGAGAATGATGTCTAGAAGAGAGGATATAGAGTGAATTGATTACTGGTTTCAGCAGTAAAATTTTCTGTTAAATCCACATATGAAGTCAGGTATAAAGAAAGTAGAAATATCGCAAAATTAAAATTTTTTGGGTTAAAAAAATATCAGTTCACTTAATTCGAATTATTTACACACCTTCGAATATGGTTAGGTGATTTTAGAGTTCTTTATACGAAATTAATAAAAAATATAAATTTGTTTATCAAAAGTGCCTAGAATATATCAGTGCCCCTTGAAAATTTTTATATCTTAACTAAGCTTCTATTAAATGGGCTAATTAAACCTTAACTCGACTAACCCCAGCGTGACCAGATTTCACAATTCTTTATACGAAATTAAAAAATATAAAATTTTTTATCAAAAGTGCCTAGAATACATCAGTTCCCCTTGAAAATTTTTATATCTTAACTGAGCTTCTATTAAATGGGCTAATTAAACCTTAAGATATTGTTTGAAAACCCAATAAAATGTTGCTTTTAAGGAAAAAGGGCCTACTCCGACTTAGGCTACTTTAATTGAACGGCACAGATATGTATGTACATTAGGGCGGGTCAATTTATATGGAAGATTTTTTTCGACAATGCGCCTATAGCACAAAAGGATTCTACGTGTAATTCTGAGTAAATTTGGCAAAGAAACAATGGGTCTTAGATCAATCTGGAGTTTGCCAAATTGCGAAAATAGGTTTTTAGCATTTTGCCGCAGTGTCGTAAAGTGTTTAAATTTGGTATGAAAACATACTATTCTGTATTCGTTGTATATTGATAAGTGAAACTAAATAAGCATGTGACTTTTTGGGTTCGTTCAGAAATGGATCGAGCCAAAGCATCAGTCTCTTTTATTTCTAAACTATAATCGATAGAAATGTCAAATATGCGCAACCACGGTTGTAAGTCGAATAGGAAATTAGTTGCGTAAATATGACATTTCCATTAATTATAGTTTAGAAATAAAAGATACTGATGCTTTGGCTTGATGCATTTCTAAATGCACCCGTTGTTGGTAGTAGTACAATAAATACACTTGCAACAACAATCACATGCATATCCAGTTATACTTATACAAGATACAACAAATACACAAAAGAGCGAATACCCATAAAATAAAGGGTTTTTTGGTATGAGGAATCCATTTCTGCACTTATATTTTTCTTAAATCTTTCACCAGAGGGCGCCACAGTGAAAATTTTCACATTTTTTCGAAACGCATGCTAAAACAATATTGTCCCGCCCTAATGTACATACTTTGCTATTAAACTTTTGGTTTGGGAACTATGTATTTATGAAAATTTCTAGAATTTCACATAATTTCTTAAAATGTTTGGCTTGATGTAAATTACGTTTTAAAGAAACTTATTTATTCCGAATTCTTTTTAGACAATCCATGTATGAATTTTTACGAAGAAAATAAATTCTCTACCATATGTTGACCGGTTTCCTTAACACATAATTTACAGGGATCTTGCGTAGAATAGTTCTCCCGAAAGCACCCAAAGCCTTCTTATCTTTGTTCGACATCGTTGACGTTTCTGCGCCATATGAAAGAACGGGCATGATGAGAGACTTGTAGAGCGTGATTTTTGTTCGTCGAGAGAGCGCTCTGCTTTTCAATTGCCTACCGCACACAAAGTAGCGCCTTTAGGCAAGAGTTTTTCTTTGCGTCCCAGTCCCTCATGACCGACTACTCATTCAACTAGGTCATTGTATCAAAAATCAGCAAATATTAGAATTTGATCCCTTTTCAAGGAAGATATTTTTTTGTGTTCGAATCAGTAAAAAAAGGCAAGTATGTTTGTTCTATTGAAACAAGCGATCAAAGTAATTTTAAGTATTTAATTAAAATTTATATTAAAGGACTATGTAAGTCTGATGCCACTAACATAACATAATTGTACGTGTACGTTTATTTATGGAATCTTGTCATTTTATTCTGAACATTACACACCCCACGTACGAAAATAGCTAGACTCTAGCTTAAAATTTCAAAGTAACCCAACGCGCAAAAGCTATAATAATCGAAATTTAAACAATCTTTAAACAAACTGCAAACAGTTGTGAACGAGCAACTCGTCACAAAACGAGCAGTACGTTCACGACTGTTATAATCCCAAATATGCATTTTTACGTAATGAGTTGCTCGTTAACGACTGTTACGATTCGAGCCCTGAATTTAAAGATGAGAAATAATAATATTTTCCTAATATAAGTTTTCCCTTTATTCCACTTTTACATTGCATAATTTTTTACTACACTCGTATGCATTTTAAATCAAGGTGGTATGATTAAGTAAGCGATTTAAACCCGGTTTTATATTAAATTTTTTTTTTGCAATATGGTGTTCTTCCTGTGATTGGCCCAAAAATGTTCGAATTTTATCGTAAAAATATCTATGTAAAACATTAATGAGCTAGTTTAGTACCGTTAATTTCTTAGTATCTTTCTTTTAGTGGCTATGTATATATTTACATACATATATAGCGCCACGTTTCCACCTACGCACATCAAAGTATAACCATTAACGCTTAGATGAGTGCGTTATGCCCGCCCGCAAATCCATTTATTGTTTGTACATATGTATATAAACATTTACAGTTATGAGACGATAAGTGGAACCAAAAAAGGACATTATCGTTAAAAAAAAAACTTATGCTTTCTGGGCTGGGAATTCAACAGACTTTCTTGAAAATTAAATAATGTTCTTAGACATATTTCTGTGTTTGGTGAAACTTGTAGTTTTATACCGCATTCTTTTAGGGCGGAAACTCACTTTGAAGCCTTCCGGGTGGTAGTACGTAGACTACGACTACGGCGGCGGCCGTTGGGTATTCGTTTTCTTAAAAAGCAGCAGTTGGAATACATATATTAGGTTTGTTCCACACGAGCCCGCGGGTACCCACGGGTGCCCAAAGCAGCCCAGAAAGCGTTCCTCTCGCTAGAAAAATGGGTAATAGAGAGCGAATACGTTCCACTTTTGGATCGTAAATATCTTCTTCTTTGTGCACGAAACAGCCCGGACTTTTTTTCCGGGCACAAATGTGCAAAAGGGCAATTTGAAATAACTGCTGTTGTTGTTTAAATCCGAAAGCAAATTTTATAAAAACAAAAGTGGAAAATATCACAGAATTTTCAGAAAATGTAGTTATTTGGTAATTTTATTAGCCATATAAGATAAATACACGTAAAATCATTGTTTAGAGCTGATATGTTGATTCCGGGCACGAAATGTGGTTTTTTGCGTTCCTCACGCTCTGGGCACTTTTGGCACGTGTTGGCACATTTTTGACACTTGTGAGAGAGTAACTTATTTTTACTCTCTAATTACCGGAGCAGCCCGGAAAGCGTGGGGAACGAAGCTATTATCTCTTATATTTAGTTTCATCGATATTGTTATTATCATCGATATCAATATCATTATCGATTTATTTATTAATATAATGTCGTTCATATGGTCATGAAGAAAAAAATATTTGCCTTAATTGGACATAAACCCTACAAATTGATTTATGCAAAAAAAAAAATCTACCAAATTTTTTTTTGACGGTGTGCGATTTATTGGAATTGATTTGGTTATCGTCATTGTTATCAGTATTTGTATTCAAATTCATAATTGTATTATATTTTTTTAAACTCATACTTCTACTTTATGAAATATTATCCCAACAATCCTAATTAAAATGTTAGACGTGTTCTGGCTAAACTTCAAATCAAATCTAAAAAGTTCAAATCACCAGTTTTAACTGTAACTACATATGTACATACATGTGTTTATATTTTGCTGGAAGTCTATGCATGATTGCACCTATTAAAACTGTTTAAATTAAATTTCCTATTTTTAATGTTTGCGAATGCGAATGTGTACATGGGCAGAGAGTCCACTCAAATATTGTTAAAATGGCGTTAGATCTGTCTAACCAGGGTGCGGACAATAACCGGCTTTTAGCTTCAGTTGCTCAAGGTTAAGTAGTATATCAAGCAACATTGATGGGCCTTCAACAAGTACTGCTAAAACTCTTATAAGCCATCTAGAAATAATTTTTGATAACCTCCAGCGAAAGCGAAGGCTCGGATGTAGAATCTGGATATATTAAAAAATGTGAAATTAAAGCTCAATTGAAGACCTATCTTAAAGAAAAGCGAGCTCATCTCGGTGAAAATCCACTCGATTGGTTGGAAAACTAAACTAAAATACGACAAATTGACAGATCTGGCCCGCAAATATTTGAGCGCTCCACCCGCCAGCGTTCCATGCATGCAATTCGAATTCTCTCATTTTTGTTGCAAAAAAGGCATAGTACAACATATTCTTATTCCGTATTTCTTTTCACATTTATTTGAGAACTCTGAATCTGATGTGCCAAGTGTCAAGTGCAACAATGCGCAAGGTTAAGGGTCAAGTGTCTGTCAAATGAGATGGGTTGCCTTTACATTTGATATTGTCGCATGGTAAACAAACATGATGGGTATTACCATGTTTACCAAAAACAAAAAAGTGAGTACATTTATCTATTGGATCAAACAATTGTGGAACATTTCGGTTCGGTTAATGGTTCAGTTAATTAATAGAAAAGAGCGGTTTTCCGGTTCAAAACCGGTTCACGTCCCTGTTTTAAACACAGTATGTAAACTTCATTATTTT